CAAAACCCCAAAACCCCAAAACCCCAAAACCCCAAAACCCCAAAACCCCTTCTGTTGTTCGTGAAATTGAAAAGTGCAAAAAGTTTATTTAAATAAATACTTTTAATAAGATGAAAGGCTGAGGATTGTTGATTCTGTTTTTCTTATTTTTCTTGAGGAGCCTTGCTGATCCTGGTGCAAAAGAATTTGATGATGCTAGGCTTAAAGTTATCAAGAAATTAACTGGTAAGAGACTGGTTATAACTCATTTTCTAGCAAATTATTAAGATTTGAATTACCTTCTTTAATAGGCTATGACCCAAGGCAAGCATTTCAACCAATTCCAACTGGTGACGGAGCAGAAGGAGAGTCTCAGTGCATTGAAGCCTTAAGAAAAGCACTTTCTCCAGAGGGGAAAGATCTGCTGCTAAATTTCTATTCTCTATCTGGAAAATCTATTAACCAGCTTGGAAAGCTTGAGAAATGACGAGACTTACCTGAGACTGAGTATGTAATACTCAGTGTTACAATAACAGCTCCAATAATGATAGGGACTTGAGTTCCTGCATCTTGTAATTCGCCTTCTGACTTTGCCGGACTTCAAAAATATATCGATTCCAAGATTAATCAGCCAGATGTTCCTGAGGAGTATTGGTTACGCCTAGACGTGTCCTTTCCCTATCAAATTCCTAAAAACTCAGCAGGGACTGGGACTATCATCACCCTCGTACTAATAGGCATCATTACTATGTTTGGAATTGTAGGAAGCATTACTCAATATATTCCTTTCTTCAGAAAACCCCAATCTGATCCTAATGGAAATCCGGAAAAGAGCCTTAATAACCTTGGGCTAGTTTTCTATTCATTCTCGTTCTCCAATAATCTCCAGAAGTTATTCAGCTTAAAGAACAGAGGAGAGAAGGAACTGAGGGTCTTCAATGGAATCAGAGTCTTCAGCATTTGCTGGGTCATTGTGGGACACACTTTCTTGTATGCAGCTGCAGCTCAGAATCCAAACATCCTTACCTTCAGACAGATGATGAACAAATGGTACTTCGCTATAGTCCCAGGAGGATTCTTTTCAGTTGATGTGTTCTTTATGATGGCAGGGTTCCTGACTTTCTATCTCTTGACCACAAAAATGGAGCCAAAAAGAGGCTGCATTAATTTTCCAATGGTTATCTTCCACAGATGGTTCAGATTAGTTATTCCTGCAGGATTTATGATCCTTCTTGGGAATTTTATATTCCCATTCTTTGCCGATGGTCCTTTTAATAGCTTCTATTGGGATCTAAAGTGAGAGAAATATTGGTGGTCCAGCATTCTTTTTGTAAATAACTTCGTACCATGGGAATCTGACGAGATGTGAATGTCTTGGTATTGGTACCTCGCAAATGACTTTCAATTTTTCCTGATCTCACCCCTTATAATCTTTATTTATCTTAAAAACAAGGCTGCAGGATATTCGGTCACAGGTGCTTTGGTGTTAGGAACGATAATCACAAATATGGTCATCACCAATCATTATAAACTTGGAATTTTTCTTGCTATTGATAACCCAGCTAATTTCTTTGACTTAATTTATTTCAAACCTTGGAATAGGTTCTCCACATATGGAGTAGGTGCTTTATTTGGATTTATGTATTTTGAATACAAGAAGGATACTAAAGCAAAGGAGAAATCTGAAATCGAAGAACTGAGGCCATCTATTGGAACTAAAATTATAATTGCACCAAAGCACTCAAGCTTTATTACCTATTTATATTTCCTATCAGGACTGTTGCTAGTAACTTTTTTCGTATTTATTCAAACTACTTGGTTTAGGTCACAGCTAAATACGAATCCTTGGTCTAATATTTCCTGAATGCTTTTCAATGGCTTCTCAAGACCTCTTTTCAGTGCTGGAGTTTTCTTGATAATCCTGCCTACCTTTCAGAACAGACTTCCATGGATCAGTAGTTTCCTCGGATCGGATTTCATGGTGATTCTGGGAAGAACAACTTTCGGAGTGTATCTTGTACATTACACATGGATCATTGCTTGGTTCGCAGATGCAAGACAAGGAATGTGGCTTACTAACCTTACCTCCTGGATGACAATCCTTGGAATCGTGCCTGTAGCCTTCTTATTTGCTATCCCATTTAGCATGTTTGGAGAAGTACCTTTCATGAACTTAGAAAAACACTTTTTGATTCCGAAACCCCCGAAGAAGACTGAAAAGCTTATGAAAGAGACTAGTATTGATCAAGAAGAGCTCAAGGATGAATTTGAAACAGACGGTCCAGAATTCAATCTCAAAGGACCTCGGTTCAAGACCTCGATCCCTGGTTATCGAATTTCAAAGAGAACAGAAGTATCAGAAAATGATTCGTTAATGAACAATTCTTCAAGATTCATAAAGACGCATCAAGAGTAGCTCTTTGTCAGAAATTCAATCTGGAGCCTTATTCAGGGGTTTTGGGGTTTTGGGGTTTTGGGGG